TGAATTAGTTCTCTTAGCTCCAAATGAAATGAAAATTAAAAACGAAACTTGGTTTCTAATAGCAAACAAACCAAAATCAAGCATTTCTCTCCCTCCCTACCCTAGCCCCCACCCCATATACCAACAACAAATGAGAAACACAGCTAGAGCCCAACATGCCACGTTATATTACGCTGAGAGCTGGGCCTGAACCCAGGCTCTGTGGTTGCCTTCCCTGTCCAGTGGGACACAGCACCAGGGACACTTTCCGCTGTAGTAGGGTTCTGCATGGCTGGTGGGGATGGGGTGGGATGGTCAGAATCTTCTTGAGGCTCCTCACCAGTCATCTTCCTTCCTAGTGTCTCTCCCCCCGGGGCGAGGGCTCCCATCAAGAGAGGCCCCTACTCAGATGTGGGCTGCAAATTGCCCTTCTCTTCTTGGTTCTCTGTTCCACTCTCATCATCTTCAATCTCCCCTTCCTCCCCACTGAATTTGTCATGGGCTCACTTGGGGCTTGTACTGGATTTCCGGAACATGAATTGGCCCTGACCCTGGGGAAAGGATCCTTGGCTTGTCTTGGCTCACCCACTTATCACTGCCTTCATGTTCTCGGTCATCATGCAAGTAATACTTCTTGCTTTTGTATACTCTGTACTGATCTCGTGTTCTCTGATGCTTCTTCTGCTTCTTTGATCCTTTATGTGTTTTCTCAGTTGACCTTTCCCTTGAATGGCTTGAATCTCGGGAATCCACTGATTCTCTTGATTTACCTTGTCTAAGATTTCTCTTCTTATATTTTTTTTTTTACGACGTTCAATATCAAGACAAAGATAAACAGGATCATCTTTGTATTTTCCCTCAGCCTTGTAGTTAGATTCCTGAGGACTTTTCATTTCATCATGCGCCAAAACATGTTTTCTGAATGTACTGGGGAAAATGTCTATCCTCCTGTGTATTTCTGGGCTTTTCTTGTTTTTAGCTGCCTCCTGTTCAGCTTCTCTCTTTAGGTATTCAGTAAAACGTTCATGTACTGTCATTCTAGAGGACCCAAAGTGATGCTCTTTAACATGGTGAACAATGGTCACTATATGCTGAGCAAACAATTCTGAAGGGCTACGCTGAGACTGAGCTGACTGAATGTGCTAGAAAATGGAACGAAACTCCTGCTCCTTTTTGTTGCTATGAACTAGATCCCAACAAAGCTTGTGTTCCTGAGCCAATAAACCACTGGGTCTTACAAGGTCCTCGTCAAATGAATCCATGCGTACATTGACCTGGGCCTCTCGAGTAATGGAAAATGAAGACTTTCCTGAAGAGTAGTCTTGTTTGGCTCCCAGCTTCTCATGGCTCTCAGAGGTCTTCCTGCAGAGAGGTGATGAGCTTTTCTCTTGCACTGCCTTATACGCAGTCACTTGGAAATTCTTCTCAGGCACAAACCCCCAGTGCCCACTTTCACTCCTCTTGGCCCCTCCTCGCTCTTCCTTTATGGATCTCTCCGTGAAAGACTCCTCCTCCAACTCCTCTGCTTTCCTCTGCTTTTCCTTCCCTGCACACATCAGGCCTCTTCACTTGCCGGACTTCTTGTCCTCCTGGACAAGCACCAGCTATGACTTTCGACATGAATTTGGGTTCATCATCAACCTCAGATTCCTTCCTTCTCTTAGTTTTGTCGTTACCTTGATCATCCATCTCCTCCTTGTGGAAGTCTGCCATCTTCTCAAAGTCATCACAGAGCTTATACCTTTTGGGTGACTGACTGCTCCCAAAGGGCTTCTCACTGTTAGTCTTGGAAGCAAGTGAATCCGATTTCACTTTTGCATCCACATCAGAGGAGCTCCCTTTCTCCTTCACTTTTTCTTTATCAGAATTTGTCTGTTTCTGCTCCTTATCTTTCCCATTCTCTGTCTTCTGGTCTTCTAGATACCTCTTGGTCTAGGCTGCTCCTCCTATAGTAGCACTCTCCTCCTTCTGAGATGAGCCATAAGTGGAGCCAGTGGCTGGTGGACTCTTACCCACAGGGCGTTTTTTTGGATGGACTCAAAGATCCAGAGCCATGGTCCAACTGACTTTGATGGCTCCCAGACTGGTACCCAGCACCACTTCGCAGAGATGAGCCCATCTGGGATGTGTTGGAAAGTGGAGGACTAGGTTTTGGCACAGAGCTAGGGACAGGTGACCGCGGCCTCACCACCACAGACTGAAGAGGGCTCTTGAGAGCTGGGATTTGCTCCCGGGGACTCAGGTCAGAAACTGCAGAGGCTCGTGATGCAGAACCAGTGCTGTAGGTGGTAGCGTCTGGCCATGGCTTTGACCTCTCAGGTGTTTTTGTATCTTGAGAGGTGCCTCCAGAGAAGGTCTGATCCTTGGTCTCATCTCCCTGGTTATCCCAGCAGTTTGAGATGGCCGGCTATCCTTGGAAGAGGACTTTTTCTCCTTTCCAGATTTGCGCTTAGAAGATTCCACTCGGCTGTGGTTGGAGGAAGAACGAGAGGATGAGGAGCACCTTAACCTGTCAGAAGATGACTTATCTGAGT